GGTGGGGCCAGCCACCATCATCCAGTGGGGAAACAACTCCCCGCCGTACATGCAGGAGATGGCAAACGTCACCAAGGCTGGCTACCGGGCTCTGCTCTCTGCCCCCTGGTACCTCAACCACATCTCCTACGGGCAGGACTGGATGGCAGCCTACCAGGTGGAGCCCTTGAAGTTTGAAGGTGTGTTCCTTGTGTCCCCTTCCCATACGACAGCTGACTTGTCACTCGGAGGTAGCGCCAGGGCTGGGTCTCTTCCTAATTTGTTCTCGCTGCTGGTGCGAAGGTGCTTGAGTGACCGTGTCCTTGGTTCCTGTGCTATGTCCCGTTCCCTTGAGGCCGACAAAAAACAACTCTGCTCTCCCCCAGCCCGGGGTTTGAAGCGGGGGCTTCCAGAAGGGCAAGTTACTGCCTCCGTAGCTGAGCCACTCACTGCTGTTACAGGCACCTCTGTGGGCAGGGCGATGTCACCCCGTTATCTAACAACACCCCCTCACCTGAATGCTGTGTCCTCTGGCAGGCAGCCCTGAGCAGAAGGATCAGGTGATCGGCGGAGAGGCGTGCATGTGGGGTGAATATGTGGATGCCACTAACCTGGCCCCCAGGCTCTGGTAAGAGAAGCCGTCGGGAGGTTAGCTCGAGTCGCGTGGGGCAGGGCTCAGGCTCGTTTCCTTCGCCACTGAGCGATGTGTGCCAAATACTGCGGGTTTGGTCTGCGTGTGGTGCTTGTCCCTGTCCCCTGGCAGCGCCTCTGTGCTAGTAACAGCTTCACTGAGGCTTAAATGAGGGTTTGTAAGACTGTAACATGCTCCTGTACAGCCTGCTGCTGCAAGCAGTGTGTGTTTAGTGCTGGTCTCTGTCCTGTCACCCCGGTACGTCCTGATCCACGTGTCTAGGAGTGGATCTTTTGATATACAGAAGCCATGTGCCTTTGTGTGCTGAAGGACTTTGGTGGGGAAAGTGTTGGGGAGCTCAGGGCTTTGTGTGAGAAGCTTTCAAATCCCCCCTCCCCCGACCTGACTGCCTCTGTCCCTCGTTCCTCCAAGGCCAAGAGCTGGGGCCGTAGCCGAGAGACTGTGGAGTAATGCGACCGTCAGGGACCTGCATGATGCCTACGTGCGGCTGGCCGGCTTCCGCTGCAAACTTCTCGGGTAACCATTTCTCCTCGCAGCTTGGATGCCGGCTCGCGGGGACAGAGCGAATGCCACCCGTTCTGGGGTTCGATGCTGGGGAGGGCAGCGAGGGGGAAGTGGGCTTTCCCTGGTGCAAAACGACCCTTGTTCTTACGGAAAGTTCCGAGCCTTTCTCCTGCCTGTGCGTGGGCAGAGCTTGCTTTGTGCAGTGCTGGAAGAGAGGCCCTGCTGCCAGCGTGGGCTGGTGGCTCTGACGAGGAGAGGGCCTCGTGCTGAGGAAGGGGGACCCGTCAGCTATTGCCACCCCTCCTGCAGCTTCCCCAGGAAACCTGCCCTTACCCCGTGCTCCCACACGTGAGCAAAAAACCGAGTCTATAAGTGCAGGATGAAAACCACTCCCTCCTTGTCACACCTGAAACGGGGCACCGATGGCCAACCTGTGCTCCTCTAACCCCTCAAACCTGACCCTGGGCTCTGCCTGTGCCCTCTGCCTAAGGCCGTCTCTCTGCTCTCTTTCCAGGCGTGGTGTCCAGGCGCAGCCTCTCTATGTAGGATACTGTGAAAATGAATTCGGTGGGTTTTGAAGGGAGAGTCTCACTGACCTCGGTCGCTGTGCACCCAGGAGGAATGATCCCTCTCTCTCAAAAGCTGCTGGCTTGGCAGAGGGACCCCTTCCCGCCCCCAGCTTCTGCTCTTGCTTTGTTGCAATGAACGTGTTTTTTTTTTCCTTAGTGTGCACTCTTCACCTCCTTTTCTATTTTCGTTTCTTTAAATGTATAAATAAATGACCCTAAAGAGGAAAAAGGTGCCCTTTCATGCTCGGCTGGGCCTTGGGAGACCGTGCAAGGGTTTTTGTTAGCAGGAGAAATGGGTAGGGCTTGCTCCCAGAGATGCCGGTGGAGGAGCGTCTGGCTGTGCCTCATCCCGGTGGCTCCGGAGCTTGCTGGGTGCCTCCTCAGCTGGGTAAGCTGTGTTCAGTCTCTGCTGCGATCAGGATTTGGCCGACTGCTCCGTCCTCATCCTGCTCTGTTGTCCTCGGGGTGGGGAGCTCAGCTCCGGGTCTGCATCCGAGAGGTTTGGTTTGGATAGTATTTGCCTTGGAGAAAAATGGTGCTGCTGTCCCGCAGAGCTGGGACAGTCGGGGCCCTTGTCACTGATGGGGTCGTCGTGCTGGAAACCACGTTCAGCTCGAAGCGGGGAATCTCTCGGGGAGAAATCCTGGCTGATGGGACTGTTGTACGTGTGTCTTGGTCTTAAATGAATGAGAACTGCTGTTACGGCTGGAAACCTTTTACTATTGAACTTTAAAGATATTGAATTAACTTTGAATTAAAAATATTCAGAAATTGTCAAGTCTTGCATTTCTTTACCCTCCTGCGAAGGGATACACAAACGCTGCTCCTCTGAAGCGCTACATCTTAAGGGGGGAGGAAAAGATTGTGAAGCCCAACCACCCCAGAGCGGGGAAATTTAGCCAGATTTGGGGGAAAGAAGGATATTTTTCCCCCTACTCGGGGTGGGAGGGGAAGGGCTGCCTTCCTGTGCCCTGTTTCCTGGGGGAAGATGCTCCTCCGCTTCCTCCAAGCCTGCGTGGGAAACTTGTGCCCCTTTTCTCTGTTGTTTTGGCTGTAAATACTGTCCTGGTCTTGTGTTTTAGGCTGAGCGGAGGGAGCCAGGGTTGCTGATCTGCCCGCCCGTCAGTCCCGGCGTGTTTATTTCTCCTAAATTGGGTAACCCAGAAGACCTAAATAATAATAGCTGCTTCCTTTTGCTGGGGTTTGATGTGCTGTCAAGTCCTAAAGAGCTCCGAAAGGCTGGTGTAATTAGTGCTCCTTCCTCCCTACCAGACCTGGCGCGAGCAAACGCTGATCAGCAGCTCCTCATCCCCCTGAGGACGTCCCCTTGTGCTCTGACCCGAGTCCCCGCCGATGCCACCCGGTGTCCCCGCGACATCTCTTGAGGTTGGCTTGGGGAAGGGTCGCCGTACGGC